GCCCTTCTCAGGAACCCTTTGCTCCTGGTATTTCATGTCCTGGGACAGAGGGCCCAGTGCCCACACTGTCTTCTCTGGAAGGCACATGGTGGAACAGCTTGGCTGGGGCTTCGGGGTGTGCTGCTCTTAAGGACATGTATAAGATCCTACACAAATTGGTACCTCAGGATTTGGACACAAGCAACTGGGATGTGCATGTCAATATTACTGGTACTGGCAGCGGGTGCAATCCTGAGGCATTTCTGAGCAGCTCAGCACAGTGAACTCCATGTACATTAGTTTGCTTTCTGGGATTCTTGCAGGGAATGTACATTGCCAGTGAGTTGCTTCATGCCCCTTGCTTAGTTTTCTCTGGGTTTTCCCCTAAGGCTGCAGTTCCTCAGTTTAGACTAATGTAATAACATGTCAGTGTTCTTCTAACCCTTCTGGTTGAAAGCATGTGGGGGGACTGGAACCAACCAGCCAAAGCAACACTTACCTTGTTTCAGGACAACCAATGTGTGCCTGAATGCACAGGCAGCCATAACCAAAGAAAACAGCTTTTCAGACCTTTTGTATGCCCCAGTTCTGTCCTGAATCATCACCAGAACCACTCAGTTCCATGTGTGCCTGCTCCTTTATGTAGTGTTGTGTAGACTTCTTGTTTCACTTAGGCAATAGCTGACCAATTCTTTCCAAATGTTCAACGAGGTACAGTGGTAGTTCCACCCCAAGGCATTGATCCTTCACATGTTCTCTAGGATGACCAGAAGCACTTATATGTAAAAATGTTATTTAGAGAGAAAAATTGCTTAGACCTGGGTCCATAGGGATCTTAACATGGACATTGGCTTTGGTCTTGCCCTTGTGTTAGTGTTTGCAATAAGAGCAATTTGCCCAAGATCCCATAATGAGGTAGCAGAATTCTGATTCAGGGGTTATTGAACTCTAATGCAGGATTTCCTCCCCTTAAGTCTTCTTTTTTTTTCTTCTGTGCTTCTCCAAATACAGAGTGTTCAATCTCTTTGGAACTTTGCTTAAAGAAAGGATGTTAATCAAAGACAAACCTCAGGATCTGGCACAGGTGTTTTGAATGTATTAATTCATGCTCAGATTTGTGTAAAGAAAGGTTTTACACTGAAGAATTCAAATGCTTAGGTTCAATCTGGATCTTAGTTGCAGTGTCTTAAATAAAACACTGAAAACGTGCCCCTGAGCTGACCCGTGACTATCCAAATTGACACCAGAAGGGGATGTAAACTGACTTCATTGTGAAACCAATGGATTCCTCTTCTGTGATAGATACAGGGAAACAAGGTACAGATTTAAAAAAACATCCCTTTGGGAACTGCATCTTAATGGTATCACAGTTGCATAAGCATATGCATAGTTCCAGGAATCTAATGGAGCCTCTGGGCTTTGATTTTGCATTTGCTTTTCTCTGGTTATGTGGTTCACCTCATGCACTAGCCATTCAATATATCTTTTATATTGCTACAATAGTTTGCACATTTATTTTTTAATGACAAAAGGCTCCAACCCTCTTCACATCTGCATGGAAAGTATTTGCATAGCCAAGGACTCACCCCAAAGGCAGCTCACCTCCAGAGCCATATAGATTGCCAGGCCTGGAACACCAAAGGGGAGCACTGGGACACTGAAGCATTGCCACATTTAGTCAATTCTTTGAGGGGGGAGGGTGAGAGGAATAATTATAAAAACAAGACAGCTAAATCAAAATGAACTATGAAAATAAAAATTACCATTATTTAACTGATTGCAGTAGAACAAATAATTCCTGGACAGGTATGGCAAAAGTACAATTAATGAAACACATAAATAGTCACTAACTCAAGGGAGAGCTGGTTGACACTCTGTGAAACAGCTTTAGCAGAAATGATTCATCAATAAATGGGACTTGTTGTCTAATGGAATTCCCATTATAAACAGTAAAAAGGAAACTCACATTCTGTAAGAGTATTTCATTGTTTAACATACTGGCCCTTTAGTGTCTAAATTACCTTGTCCATATAGGGTTTTTACAAAAATATTTAAAGGAAAAATGGAGTCTGAATGTCAAAGACTTGTAATCAAGTTGTTGTTAAGGGACTTGAACTTCAACCAATTCCATTTATGTTGCTGGAGACATTTGCAGGAAGTGTGAGCCGAGGTATCCATTTACCAGTGCCTGATGATAGCTCACAGTAAAGGTGTTTAGATACCTAAAGTAACACAGAGGTGCAGCAGGAGTTTGCAGACCTACACATCTCCCTAACTTCTGAAAGTGGCACATTCAGGGAATGACCAACACCCTGGTCTGTTCTAAAATGGACAAGGATCATAATGAAATAAAACAAGGGAACTAATCTAGATCTGGGGAGAGGTGTTCCATGTGGACACTGGGGCCATTCTGGGCTAAAACCCACTAAGAGCACAAAGGCTTCAGGGAGGTGTTTCCTGTGGCAGAACAGGAGCCAAGACTTGAACCTCAGCCCAAACCCCTGCTGAAGCTCAGTTGTGCTACCAACTATCAGCATGGATCTGCAGAGATACCTTTGAAGTGCACATCAAGGCACATCTGCCTTCTAAAGCACTGCTGAAAATCTTGGAAGTCAAACTACTCTTTAAAACTACTCTTTGCTTTTAAGCAAAGTTTGGAAAGGTACTACTGTAAGACAAACAGAGAATGCAATATGCTCTGTTTAACTTGCTTAGCATTTGAAATCTCTCAGTCCTGACATTTCTTTGTAGCATAAAGCTCTCCAGATCAGGTTATAACTTATGCATTGTAAAACTCCAGTAGTGAAAACAAACATTGTTTCCAGAATCATCTGTTTGCAATTTTGCTTGATTACTCTTCCAATAGATTTCAAGCTGAGGATTGAAAGGTTTAATGTTCATATGGACAGAATTTGTTCCTTTTCTAATGATTAGTTTTAGCTGCATTATTCAGCCTTACTTGTGTTAGCCTGCATTTTGCTTTTATCAAGACACACGATTTTGTCTTCTTAAATCACCATACATCAAATTGCCATGATTGTCCTCACCAATCTGTCACAGCAGAGTTATTTTTGTCCAGCTCTTCTGAAAGCCAGCTCCTAAAAACAGCATCTGAGTACGTGTGAGATGCTGGATGCTGCCAATGGGGGATCAATATAGGGATGACATAACAGGATAAGGATCTACAGAGGAACTCAGCTCCCAGGTTTTGCAAGCATTTTCTGTGTGAGGAGCAGCAGAAGCGACAGAGTGGTGTCCCCAAAAGCAGGCACAGGAACAAGGAGCTAGTTATTTTAATGCCCAGGAAACAAGATGAGCTCTGGAGGAGGACAGGGCCCCTTCCACACTCATGTCAAAGCCTGGGGCTTTCATGAGGCACAACCTAAGAGGTGGAGGTGGTGGTGGAAACCTTTGTCTCCATGGCACTCACCCACTCGTGCTGATAAGTTTGCCTGAAGGGCTTTGCTGTAACATAAATCCTGTACTTCCTTCTGGGAACACAGGGAAAAAAACAGGGCTCTCCTCTCTCTCTCCTCTTTGCATCTGACAACTGTGTTCACATCTCCTCTCCTTTGAGGCTAAATGTCTTAAATTCTTCCAAGGCTCCCTTCCGCATTGTTTTCTAGGCCTTTGGTCATTTATTGTTCTTATTGCTATTAACAATTTAAAAATGAACTTTTGTTACTGGGAAATAGAATGAGAGCTATGGAACCCTGACAGAATTAGAGCACATTTGGACATATATGGTTTTACATTGAATAGAGTAAGAGCTGGAACTAATTTGTTCTCTTACAAAAGTAAATATAAATGCCCTCAAAATAATATCCCAGACCAAGAATAATTCTGCAGTACACCTCACTGTGCTAATGTTACATGTTGAAAGAGCATTTAATTCTAACTTCTGCAAATAATCCTTTTATGATTTATCACATTTTAAGAGTTCTTAGTTCAAAACACTTATTGGTTGTATATGAAATTAATTCTGTGGATAATTTTTAAGAACTGTATTTCAAATTAGTTTAACACCTTCTAGTTAAAAATTAAAAATCGGTAAACTGAGTCACTGAGAGCTGAGGAATATTAATGCTGACATTTTCTATAAACATATGAAATTAGGTAAAAAGTATCTCATGGTTGTTAACTGTTCCCAGATGGAATAATGGTAGTTCAATGTCAGAATCCAGCACATAGAACTTTCAGGTGTATGCTGTGGCTTATGGATTTATTTGGAAATATCTACGGTAAACTTTAAGTTTTCCCTCTTTTGAGTCTGATAGTTTGATATAACACTATTTCTCATTTTCATTCTTTTGGTGTATTCACATTGGACTGATTTTTACATTAACTGTTAGTTGTACATTGACACGATATTTTCAGCTGCTGTGTAGAGTCCCCAAACCAAACCACTTGAAAGTGGCTTTCCTGTAGAAAAAGACTGGATTTTTCTTTCTTGAGGAAAAAGCAACAGTAGCACCTGTAGCCCACTGCTCGAGGGCTAAATCTACCTGCATGTCAAAGGAAGAGCCCAGTTTGTTTGTGGGGTTTATCCCAGGATTAGGCCAGTTGATGGTTACATTTAGAGCAAAAGGGACACAAAATTGTAGTGTCACTTTTTATACACAGTTATTATCGTGGAATGTTATTATATTTTCATAATTCTCAGACAGCTATAGGAGAACTCTCAGTGTCTTGAAGAAGGCAAGTTGTTGTGTGACCTGGATGTATGAATTCTGAGGGGAAAAAGTTTCCAGTTTGTGGTCATAAAGCAACATCAGGAGCATTATGTATTCTTCACAACAGAGCTTGATTATTTTTTTTAAAAATCCCCAAAACTATACAGTGTCTTTAAAAAAAATACGGGAAAATAGTATGTGAAGTGGTTTTATAAAATAAATAATCTATTTTCTATAAACGTACAAAATCAGTTATACAGCAAGTAAGAAACTGATACAAATGCAATAACTGAAAGATATATTTAATTTTATAACTGTAATAATTTATTTATGAAATATATCCACATATATATAAAATATATCATATGTTTTGGCAAAGAGCTCCCTTTCTTGTTTCAAAGAAAATCTATTACCACTGGTTTAAGCCCTATATAAACATTTGTACTGTTGATTTCTTTTCACTTTTCTTTTGGTCTCCATCTTTCTTCTTATAAAATATAATTTATTGTCATGGGGTTATAGTTTAACCTATGTGCCCTGGGGAAAGTCTGCATGAAAGTCAGTCAACCCAAAAAAAATTTGTCACAAGTAAGGGATTTCCTCTCTTCTTAAATAATATAGAACAGGGTTTGCAAAAGTTACTCTTTTTTCCTTGCTTACTCTTGCATCCTCGTAGCAAAAAGAAGTCCATAATTTCTGAAGGCATCATTTACATTGAAAAATGTCCAGGGTTGGATTTAATCCTTATTGCCAAGTTTTCAAGTTATTCACTGATGATGTTTCAATGAAGATAAACATGTGATTTGTAGTACTAACAGAGACAAATGTATGTGCCGTGGATGGTAACGTGGGCAGGGGCTTAGAACAGCAAATCTGAGTTACTCTGATTGTATGAAGCTTCATTTGAAGTTCCACAGTCCTACCTTTGCAGCTTTAGGAAAATTCTTGGGGCTGAATAATTAAAGTTCTGTTCACCAACTACAGTGCATCCTTAAATAATCACTGTGTTTTTGAATGGAACTTTGAAGTGCAGGAATAATTTGTGCCTAAATTAGGTAATCTATTGAATACTCAATGCATACTCTTAACTTGCTATAGTTTATAATAATATTTATATTAGCCATTCATATTTATTCTGCATAGATACTGTCATTTAAACATCTGCCACGAAGTTACAATATGATGATTCAGGCTTGCATACATTAACAAGAGAAATATTTTGCATCTGTTTATTCTGAATGAGAACTCATGTAGAGGCAATCTCTCTCTAGCTCACCACATTCTCCAATTACAGTTGCCTGCATAAAGCTGTGGATGGATTCCTCAGACACAAAGTGGAACAGTATGTTTCTATTGTACTCTTTGAAATCACAGAGGAAAACAATGCTCCCTGAAACTGTGCATTGCTGAAGTTTGGATCTGCCTTTGAAGTTTTCTTCACTAGTGATACATTCCCTGCCAGTTCCATGATAAAGATTATCCTTTACTGAGACTCTCACGGGGGGAACACGGGACAAAGCTTCCTCATGCAGGTTCAGGTGCCCTCAGAGTGGCACTGCTGAAATGGAAGTGGTGCATCGCTCAATTCTCCACTGGCATCACACTGAAGCATCAAGTTTGTCCATCTCAAGGGAGAGTTGTAGTTTAAGTTCTTGTTTCTGAGCTCCAGCAAATAAATGTTAAAGCTTTAAAAAAAAAACAAACACAACAACCAAACTGCTTAATATTCAGCACTAACTGCCTGTTACTTGATAGAAAAGGGTTTATCTCCTTGATTACATGTACCCAGAGTGAACGCTGCACAGTTGTCTGATTAGCTCTGCTCAGATAATCATAGCAATAAATCCAGCTTGAGGACTCCTAATCCAAGTGCTTTCCTTCATAGCAAAAAACTTTGGGTCATAGTGCGACTTATTTCGAAGTGGAAATATTTGAAACTGGCTGCTAGGTCCCAGTAATCTCTTTGTATCTGTTATCGAAAGCAGATTTATTTTTCCCCTCAGATGCTTTTTCCACAAGGTTCTTTTCTGTTTCTTTACCTTGACAGTTCTAGTTTTACTGAAGCACTGCACTGGGACGTGTAGCTTAAGTTGCTGCAGTGCTAAATGAGCAAAAACATGATAGACAGGAACAGCCCTTGCCCTAAAAAAAAAAAAGGCAAAAATATGTATTGGCTTATAGCCAAAGAATCCAACTTTTGAAGGAGTTAGTTAGCACAAGGGAGGTTGTAGTAGTTCTGTGCATAGTAAAGGTTATTTTAAAAATTACATATGGAAAAAACCAAAGAACTCATGGGCCAAGTTCTGCCCTTATTTATAAAATTCAATTAAAAGAATTAAGGGTGCTGCAAATACAAAGAACATTTATGAAAAATCACTATTTGTTTTAAATATTAAACATCTGCACCTTACCTGATTGTTCAGAATCCTCCAGACTCTCTGTGCTACTGAATGAAGTTGTGTTCCTCTTCCCTGCATTGGTCTTTCTCCTCTGTCTTTTTCACTGATCCATGATTTCTGGAGAAGAGAGATTTTCCAAGTTTGTAAATGTGCTCTCATCAAGTCCCCTTATGGATACATTCATAAAAAGACAATGTGATGCTCTTTGTCAGACTAGATAAAACATTCTAGAATAGTGCAATATTCAGCATGCTCCTAACTGGGCAGATCTGGTGTTCTCAAAAACACCACATCATAGAAAGGAACAGCAAAATGAAAATTCCAAGCAGTACTGGCTGCCTCTGGCCTCTTTCCTTCACCTACTAAACTCTGAGGTGACATACAAGTTCTCTCACTTTTGTTCTTTCTGTTCACTCCCCCGTCCCACTGGGGGAGAAGTGAACAAGCACCTCTGTAAGTGCTTGGCTGCTGGCCAGGGCTAACCCACCACACTGGAGAGGGGAATTTTAGTTAAAATCAATGTGTTTTTTACTCAGTTCCATTTGATAAGTGCAACTTGATTAATTTATCTCTGCAAAATAGTCAAATCGTGTAGACAGGTGGCAGCATTCAAGCACTCACCTTCTTCTGTCTTGCACTCTTCTGCAAAACTGCAAACACTGTTCATCCTGAGCATCCAAACAGGAACATCGAAATGAAGACTGGGAAGTACTTTGACTCTGGCCTGTAGACCTTTTGCCTCTAAAGCTGCCTCTGTAGTTAGACAGTCCATATGGCACAGTCCTCCTGTTGTGAGTCACACATATCGTGTATTTTAGAAGCCAATTAAAATGATATTCCATCTCTTTTCTGTTTTAGTAAAGAGATCTATTGATGCAAAGCAATAAATACTGGCACAAAAATCAAAACATACTCATATAAATAAGCAGTTCTGCCTATGAAAGATTGTAACTTCTGCCCAATTAGCTCTGGCTTTTGGGAAGTTATAAAGTAGCAGACAATCAGCTCTACTGGGAGAATTAATTGGCAACTACACAATCTAAAAAAAGATTGGAATACCTAACAGCTGATACAATTACAAGCAAGGTTATTGCTTATTTTGCTCCTAATTCCTGTGTTGTGTTGCTCACCCTCCCCCAGCGTACAATATTTGTTATGTCCCATGCCATGGCTGGTGTGAAGTGACAAATGAGCTGTGCTGAGTTCACCAGACGAGTAACATCATGTAGTTGTATCATCTTCATGATTCTGAGCCTGATTTGCCATTAATTTAATCATTGAGAAATGGAGACAACTGTCAGCATGATTAGTTCACTACATCATGTTTGGAACATGATCCCTGGAGTTACAGAGGTGAGAAACTGCTGGGTAATCTTCCCTGTATGTATCTATCAATACCTTTCTACAAGAGATGGTATTCTGTACTCCAGCACACCAAGAAATAGGATGAGGCAGCTCTCTGTATTTCCCTGCAGTCTGGCATGCTTTGCTCTTTAATGGGTTATAGTCAATCAATTCCTGCTGACATCCCCAAAAGGAGTTGGATGGTTTGGAGTGATGTCATAAATTATTCTCCTTCAAGTTGTTAAAGAATCTCAAGTGACAGCAGCTGTCCACCACATGAAACTTCTGGAGACCCATAAAAGCTCCTGTGGACTTGAGGGATGGGCTAAGCAACCCACAACTCCACAAACACTAAAAATATGAAGGGAATCTCATGTTCACAAGCAAGCAAGAGGAGTGGAGGGAGTGGAAAAAAAAAAAAGGCAGGGAAGAGGAAGAGTAAATCTAGAAGGGTTACAGAAAGGTTACAGAACAAAACCTGAATAATCAGTTTGCAACCACTACCTTCACGTAGTTCTTCTTGCATTTGCTTTCATAAAAACATCATTAGGCTATTAATGGGAAAGCTGCAAATTTTCCATTTTCCCACACACATGGTGGGCTGAAGGGTTCAGAAACATTATTTTGGTGTAACATCAGTACAGTTGATGCAAATCATTTATTCAAGCCTCTGCACTTACAATACGTATGAGCTTGTGCATCTTGTCTTTCACAGCCTGAGCCAGAGCACACCTGTCAGTTAGATTTATGATAAAATCATACTGAAAGATAGAAAATCACAAGCAATATTTCTGTGTTAAGAGCCCAGGAAATGGTCTTTCTCCAGCAGATGCTGCTCTGCCTCACCTACATGCAGAAACTGTTGCATATTTTCCCTTTACTCCTATGCCCAGACACTGGGGGAGTCAAGAATATCCATATTTGTCTCAGAACACTTTAGGACTTGATTTTGGCCTCCCTTCTCTAACAGCCATTTAAAAAGCTTTTTGTTGTCTTTAGGATTAGGAGCGAGTCCCGTTTTATAACTGAAGAGTATTAATGGTTCCATACTGCCATCTGCTTTAGAATGATGAATGTTGAATGGCTAATGTAGGTAACTTCTGGTATAAATAATTGCTGTATGGTTGTATTTTTTATACAAATACTTTTTTTTTTCTTTTTAATTAAGTAATAGCTAGTATTTAGAGACAGGAACAGGAGGAAGTTACTTTATTTTTAACAAATCCTCTATGAAAACTGTCTGGTAAAATTCTATTATTCAACTTCCTGCTCAAATTGAGACTGAAATAGAAAGATTAATTTGGTGTGTGGTAGCCAAATATGAAAGCCCTGTTTCATGACAGATAGTTTGCCAAGGGATAAAGAAGCTACTTGCAGCTTTTGCAGATGTCATCCCATATTATGCTACAAGACATAAAATACTGCACTATGTTATTATTTAAAGTGGTTCCTTGTTAAAAAGACCACTCTTCCAAAATACAATACTGGTTTTTTTCACTCTAATTCTCTAACCCAGAATTTCTGTGGGACTGAGCTGCAGTTTGCCCTGTGTCAGAGGTTCTGCCTGAATAGCTGGAGAGGAAGAAGGGAATGTGTTTTATTCTTAATTGCTGCAGTTTGCAAATTAATGGACCAACTAGAATTGCCATCAACTTTCAATTTCACTTTAATACATCAGTGTGTGAATTACAGTGACTGAGGAACAGGCCCATTACCAGTCTGCTGTCTTTTCTAAGAAACAGTAAATTCCAGCAAACAGGGAGGGGTAGAGAATATAAATTAATTACAAGTGATAAGAGCCATGAACCACAGCCCTAAGCAAAGGAGGAAATTGGTATTTTAGATGCTGCTTCTGATCTTTCTAATGAGGTACTTCATGCTCTGTGAAACACAGAATGCTTATAGGAGTGTGGTTCATAGCTTAGGAAATGTATTCAAGCCCCCTTTATTTTCAGTGGCCCAGAAATACCTGCTAGTGCTCTGACAAGTGTAAGAATTACCTGGAACATCCAAGTGAAGTTTATATGTAAGTTAATGTGCAGATTTGCCCATCAGAGATAGAAATGTAATAATTCTCCCAATATGCCTGGTTTTCATTTCTAACCCAAAAATTCAAACCCAAACCAGAGATACTTCTACAGCAACCCAGTCTTTGCAACAGTGTTCAAAAAGAACCAAAAAATAGAGATGTTTTCTTGCCTGTCAGTTACTCTGATACAACTCATAAATCACAACGTTTAAGCAAATATTAGTGTGTGTATGGTTATCATTCCAGCAGCTGAAAATGTTCGTGTTTCAAGTTAGTTCATGCCTCTTTCTCAGCACTTCAGAGGTGAGAGGAGATGCTGAAGAGATTCAGTTGAACAGGTATCAGAAGCATTTGCCTGGCAGCTTCTTAAGCTTAGATTGTTACATGTGATTAACAGATGCTGCTCTTTTTTATTATTTTTGTGGTGTTGCAAGGCTCAGGTGCAAAATGAAGTAGAATCACAATTTCTGCACATTGAATGGGAATTATTGTCAGCATGTGATTGTCACCAAGCACTTGTGTGGCAAAAAAAGTCTCTTTGCTTTCTGTTTGAGGTGAGGCATCTGTTTTCTTTAGTCAAAGCTTGAGGACTTAATTATACCCAGAGCAGTTTGTGTCTTCTCAGTGAAGGAGAAGATGAGGATCAGTTGGAGTAGGGCAGAGGCAGATTTGTTGGCTGGCTACCTGCTCCAGGTTTCTGGAGATCCTGAACAACCAGTTCCCTTACACTGTGTTCTTCATGCTTATGACCCAGTCCCTGGTCAAAGCACCAGCTAAGAGCCATTTCCAAACTTTTTGGAAAGAAAAAAAAAGATAAAATTTGTATTTCTGACCTTTAACTAAGTAGGCAACATTTCTTCCTTTAGGAGAACAAGCTTCTTCTGAAGCAGTGAAGTGGGTTTGCACTATTTAAGGGCTGTGTGTCCTTTATCCCTTTCTTCTCTACAAAGTGGAGAACAAGCAAACCTGTGCAATTCTGGATCAGCCTTTCTGTCATGCTTTGAACTGGTATCTGATTGGCAACACACAGATTTGTGATTTCTGTGGAATTACTCTCTTTTGTGGAGTTAAGGATCATTACTGCAGCAAGTGAGGGGGTGCATAAAAGTCTGCACACTCAGTTTTAAAGCACTTTCTAGATTAGAGAAGGTCTGAGTTCAAGGAAGTAATTTCTTCTTGAATATAAGCTATTTGTTCTTTATTCTGTAAAAAATGCTAACACAACTCTCCAGTACTTGTAATTATTCCATGAGATGTAATTATGATTAGTCAGTGCAACAGATCTGTTAACTGAAGATAATTCCATGTATAACAGAGCAGCACAAAACTAATCAAAGCACAGTGTGCTCTTGTCACCTGAAACATTTTGGATTTCTGCAGTGGAAGGGAATACACAGTAAATGTTCCTTCTAGAATTTTAAAAGGAAAAAAAAAGTATAGATCTGAAGATTGGATAACAGATGCTGAAATAACCTAGATTATTTCTGTGCTTTGTGCCCACAAAACACAATCATAAAAGCTGTCCTCTGAAAGCCAGCTAGTTCTTGAAGCAAGATTTGGCCATTAAATTAGCAGAAGTAGGGATTTTTTTTTTGTTGAAAAAGGCAAAATTACTGACTAATAGTGGAACAGCCATTCTGAACCAGGGATATCAGGGAAAATTTCCCACAGAAGCAAACTGCCCATTGAATGATTACTGCCTTCAGGTCGAATTGGGAAGCATGATTTGCCTAAGTCCTGCTGTCCCTCACTTATAGTGAATTCAGGCAGACAAGTCTAATTGGTTTATTTTAATTTTTATAACATGTGGCTGAGTTTCTCATGCTATGTTATAATTGACCTATGAGCTGCTATTATTTTCTACTTTCCCAGCCACTTAAACACAGTAGATACCTCCAGGGCACTGGAGAGTTTCAGCCAAAATAAAGGGATGAGGGGGTTGCAGCAATCATCTTAGATGCTGTGATTTCAGTATTCAGCAATATATTTTCTGGCCTGCATCCAGGCCAGCGAGGCTCCCAACAGTCTCCAGTGTTTCCAGACAATCCTAAAATGTATGAGATCCCTGTAAGGACCACTGAGAACAAAGAACACAGAATGGAAGCAAAATTTACCATCCTCTAAGTGAAACAAAATGTCTACGGAATGAAAGATGCTTGGGGGAAATAACAGATATTTCTGTGTATGCTTTCATATAAAGCCACTGCAGTAATACTGTGTAGCTCTATAGATGAAGAGATCATTGGCTGCTCTGAAAGTTGGCTCCAGCTCTTTCTGTAACAGACATATTAATGTGCCTCCCCTATTAACCCTTCCTTAGCATCATTATTTAAGCAGTAAAACACCTTCTTCAAAGAAGTGCCTGCCTTGTTAGTTTTGTCAGCCTAACCACATGCTCCATTCTCAGAAGCTGGACTTTTTCTGAGTAGCTTTTTGCACCTCAAGTCATTTTCAGAGGAAACAAACCTT